AAAAAAACAAGTAAAGAGATGACGATGCAAAGTGAGAAAATATTATTAAATGTATTTAGATTAAGAGATTTAATTGTTAGGGGACGAGAGATAAACGATCATTATCGTGTATATACAACATCGTTGGCAATACTCGACTTCGCCCGTCCATTTAGTTTCTAAACCATATGTCTCTACGATTGTTCCTTTCGAGCCAGCATCGAATAGGTCAGAAACGATTTGACAAAAACGCTGAAAACGAGAAAAGGGTAGAGAAAAAGAAACACATACACACGCATAGGCACACACGGAAACACACACGCGCAGCACACAGACGAGAATAATTTTGCGCCTGTAATTCTTGTTAATCTGTCGTCGGACACATTTGACGCGATTTAGTCGAAGTGTTTCTCCTTCTCACGCAGAGAGAATAATAATTATAATAATTTAAAATATAATCATTGTTTATGTTTAAGACACAACTTCCGAAGAGAAAAGAAAAACAGGAAACAGATTAATCCGTGTTCATTGTTCTTCTTCTTCTTTTTCGTTCTTCGTTCTTCTTCATAATCTTTTTTTTTCCGTTGCGTTCGCCCTCCCCTTTTCGCGCGGCTAGTCTTTTGTACATATGTGTATGTACGCGTGCTGTTCAAATCATATCGTTTATTGTAATGCAATTAACGGCATTCAATCAAAATGAATTTATAAATGAAAACCTGTTGACGCTGTATTCGATGCAATTGAGAATTTTACCCTGGTTAATCTTTCACGTCCTCTGCTAAAGGGGAGGCGCCAAAGACATCTACTGTTAATAGGGTTTCTTAATTTTTTGATTAAGGACATGTAGCTTCTTTCAGATTAAAAGATATCCGAAACTTTTCAAAAGTAAGGAATATTTATTGACTGACGTGTAAGTTCAGAGAAAAGCTATTATTTTCATTTTTGAATGCCAGGAGAGTAATGGAAGTTCATTTTTTATTGATATTTAGTTTGTAAAAGTTTAGCCTGTCCAATAAGAAGAATTACTCGATTCTTTGCGATAAATAAAAATTTACCACGTGTTGTCCTTTGGAACTACAGAAATTTTTATGTAGCATTTATTTAATATCAGAATGGTGGATAATTTTGCACCTCCCTCCATTAGCAGCGATAAGGTCAAGGTTGCTAATACTCTTATGATGATTTGTATGTATATATGAATCCATATTTGTTTGATGCAAATTCTCTATGGTACTGTTGAGAAATATATTCTTATTATTTCTTTATTACGATTCTTTTCATAAGACAGTTGCGTATAAATTTTGATTGGATTTATTTTTACTTAACATAATTAGTTTCTAACAGTTACTCAAATATCTGATGATTTTTAACGGTTCGCTTAAAAGTTTGTTAATTTTAATCGAGACAATCGTAAAATCCTTGATTTAGAATTGAAAAAGACTAAGCAGATGTTAATTACATTTTGTTGACTTGAAATTAGTATTGAAAACAATAGTTATTAATTTATTTATTTATATATAGCTTAATTCCGTAATAACTCAATCATCTCATATCTACCCCTCTAATGTAATTTTTTATGAAACACAATCAAGACTTATATTTTTAATTAGTATCAAAGGGTATTGTTGCTAATAAATAATTGTACAATATACAAACATCTTTACACACATTTCAAGTACACACATTCTGTACAAAATTTATAACTATTACCTAATAAACAAATTTCGGCAATGAGTTAATCAGATTTAAATTAATTTTCGATGCTTGTTTTTATATTTCGATACACTATATAACCCTTTATACTAGAAATCATGACAAATGTTATTATTCAAATTATCCAGCCGATTTCACAGTACCGTATTTTTGATTTAAATTTGAATTAAAGTTCGATATTTCGACTATCGATTACTAACTCGTGCCTACGTTCTTCGAGCAACGATGGTAAACAATAAAGATGTCGACGATGCGACAAGTTCCGAGGACGAAGTATTGAAAAACGTGTTAAAAGAAGCGACAGATCATGAATTTTTGAAAGATACTTATTTTTCCAATACTGAAAACAATCATTCAACAATTTCTCAAGAAACGAGCACGTATCGTAAGTAACATAACCTCACTTCTCTTTATTTTTCTAACCTTAACCTCGTTACAATTTATTTTGGTCATCAATGTTTCTTGATCTTACTTATTCGTGTTGTATAAAGTTTTATGACAACGAAATTAGGCATTTTGTTGTCTTTTTTTAGATAATTCTACGTGTTCAGAGGATTTAACGAAATCGAAATCGCTAAGGCCCTACTTCGTGCAGAACGATAAGTTTGAAAACTTTGGAGTAACCCCATCATTTCAGAAATATGTTGCAGGGAAACTAGATGAAATAATAGAGAAGTATATAATTTGAAAATAATTCGTTTCATAGGAATGTTTTATGTTAGTTTCTGAATCTGTAAAATTCTTCAGATCTATTAAGATAAAGAACAAGAAAAAGGGAAATTGTCTTGTAACCGAGCAACAAGATACAGACAGTAAGTCTGGTATAAAACTGCTCAATTCTTCAGTAGAATTTTTAATAGCAGAAGATGAGCCTGAAATACTACCTAAAAGAAGAAAAATCAAAACAACTATAGATGAAAAAGCAATTCTATTGAAATGTAAAGAAGTTGCAGTAGATCCTGAGAGGATATTATCGAAAACAGATACAAAAGCTTGGACAAGTAAACGAAAAGAACCAGAGTTTAAATATAAAAGATTAAAAAATGGTACCTTGGTTGAACAAATCTAATATTGCTTTAGATTTTTAATATTTTGAAAATTGCCGTACGAAGCGAATAGAAATAAATATTTTTACAAAAAAAACTTAATGTTTGTACATATTACATTTCTGTCTTTGGTATTACATATGTTTTACAGTTATTTTCGTCTCATCTATTTACACTGTGCACTTTTCAGGGTAACTATAGGGATTTCAAAATAATTTAACATTATTAGTATCAGAAACAATTTTATTTCTATCCTTTTATTTTTTAATTGAATATGAACAAATAACTCTTTTATTAATATTTTGATACAGAGTTCGTAATTGCGACGGATGTTGTTATATCATTGATTTTAATCTACATTCGTGTTTAAAATGTATGTATGATTTATTCCTAGAATAAGTTACGGAACATCGTTTCGCATATGCTCAAACAAATATTTCGCCTAGATATACGCCCTCACGTATTACATCTACATCGTTATTCAATATCCCATTTGCGAGCACCGTCATCGATGATATTTCGACGAAAAAATTATTTAAACCACTTACATCGAATAAACGATAATTACTTGTAAATTTTCAATACTGTTAATATTATACTACAAACAGATATTCTATAGCAAGATACAGTTCTTCATAAAAGTATTTCTGTAACTTTAGATAAATTGGTCCGAAAATCACAATACACTTTCCAGAACGATTTAATTTTATTTCATCACAATTTTTTTTACCCAAACTATTTTTCACTATCTACTTTTATATTATTGATTTCACCAAATACTTCCCTGAACGACTGTAAATATATAAGGTATGGTAACACAGGTCAATTCGATTATTTTATACAATATTGTACCATTATTTTCTTCACAAATGATAATTTTGCATTTGTAAGTAACACATTGAAAATTATAACAAGAAAGCACGGCTGTCGATCTTCTTTCCTCTTTGTATTTTGAATCGGTCGTGGAAATTGTCGAACAAAGTTTATCATCAATTTCTCGACGAAGGGATCAGTCCAGTTCTATAGAAGTTCGATTTCCTGGTTGATATTTTGTGGTAGCCAAATAAGTTAATGGACTCCCGAATGTTCTCATATCGCCCGACAGATAGATAGGATGCAGTTTGAGAAACAAAGGCTTCGCAGAATCTATAAAGTCAGAGATTCTGAGTATTGAAGATGAATACCCTAAACTTTCTGATATAATGATTCCAACAACCCAACTAAAGTATAAACTTCCATTTAATTCTAGTTCAAAATACATCCACAATACACGAATCGTCCATTAAAATTTCATAGACTAAACTATAAAAGTATGATTTTCAATAGGATATTTATTACAAATTAATTTCGTCATTAGAGTATTGAAATTTTTTAATGGAATTTACAGTAGAAAATGAATTGATCGTCTATACTTCTAAATGAACATGCTTATTTTTTGATAAAAGAACAGATTTTATTTGTTTATTGAATAATTTTATACACAAAAACGAAGCAATTACTGACCTGAAGACACATTTTCGATTGTCGATCGTTGTTCGATATCGTTGCGTGTGTTCGCCTAAATAAGGTGAAGAATTCGGTTTTAAATAAATCAGAGAACGTTTCTACTGCTATTTGAATGAATGAAAGCCGAAGAATGAGCAGAGAACAATGCCGTAACGATGATTAGTTAATTGCCTTGAAACAAAATTCTTCTAATGCAGCATGCATTTTTTTTCTATCCCATGCAATATTGATCGACATATTCCTTAGAATTCGATTGATTTATTCAGCGTTCCAATGTCAAGTCATCACTAATTATAAATCAATCAAACTGTCGTAACATGTTTTAAAAAAATATATCCTGTGTAGAATGCTCAGAATTTGTTAATATGAAAATTTATTGCCTATTGAAGTTCTTCGTTTATGTTTCATACATATAACATACGCAAAGTGTATTTAAAAACCAATTCTCATGAAAATAAATAATTTTCGTAAAGCGTATTTCTTCATTACAGCGTGCAATAACGAGTAATTCATTTTAAAAGGAAAGGGGAGTGCATAGAGGACGTAATCAATGGAACAAGCTTTGTAATTGTAGCCGGATTAAAATTAATTTTCAGCTTAAGGCCATTGAGTTAATCATTCTCTTCGTTTCAATATTATATTTTCAGTTTATTATTATACATATATATTTAAACAAAATTTCTAAAAAATCGAACTGAAAAATAGAATTCTCAGTTGAAAATGGAAACTTAGTCTTAAGCAGATTGTTAGCTAGCCTTAGGTTGATTAAATTTGATCCAGCCATAAGAATGGTACCTCTAAACTTGGTTCTCCGCATTCGCGTCATTGATCGTGATTTCGGGTTTGGCGTCTAATGACTCAACGCTCTCCTCAATACTTATCCTAGACGAATTATTTGGCTGAAAGTACCATATATTTCTTGTTTTATTCGATTCTCGTGCTACCGAATACTTTCACGATCCTAGTTCGATTTATTGTTCTCGTATCAATGATAAGTAGATGAATTTTTCATTCGCAGGAACTTTTCATTCACAGGTTTCGGAATTGTTTTCATCGAGGATGTTTTTATTCGTCGTATGTAACATTATCGATATTGCATACTTTTATTCGAAAAAAATATAAGGATATACACATAGAAAACCGACGATGGATAAAATGTGTGTGCATGTGTGCATGTTTATACGTGTGTATGGCAATGAGAGGAATGAATAATATTGATGTTGCACATCAGTCTTGAACACATTTATTTTATGAGTAAAATAAAGTCAGTCCTTGAACACGAAGTTTCGTTTGAATGGTGATTTGTTTTGTATTTCTGGGCTCGAGTTCCGCCATATTGGTTTTTTAACTACGGTATATAGTTTCCTTTTAATATTAGAATTCAATTTCATTTATATTATTTGAAATCTTTACTTCAAAGTACTTTGTAAGTCTTAACTTGTATTTATGTAATTTAATATGATATTAATATTTTAGACGAAATTCGGGTCCAGAATATTTTCAGATATCGATGATAATGATCTATCTATTCAAGAAATAATTTCTCGATATTTCCCTTACCGATTTCACAAAATCAATGTCGTCTATACTGTCCGCTTTCGACTGATCTGGTTCCTCCTCCTTTTGGTTCAGTTGTTTAGAGTCCTCCACTTCTTCATCTTCGTCCCCATAGTCTCCAGCTTCCTCTTCCTCGCGTTCTTCTAGTTCCGGTTCCTCTTGTAGATCTTCCATCGACTACAAAGGAAGAATTTAATATATTCGAACACAAATTGCATACTCTCTTTAATACTATTGCAATATTCATTTTTTTGCATTACAAATATCTACTGAAAAATATTTGAGACAAAAAGTAATGTTTGTTGTGTAAATTATAATTGAACTGTACTGTTTCTTCTTAATTAAATTAAACTTAAATTTAAAGTAACGTATGTAACAAATTTTATTAAATATCTTCGACTGCTAACATCGACAAAAATTGAATTATTTAAGAATTTGTCTTGAAGCTTTTCGAAGCAAGCCTGCAAAGTGGACACAATTATTATTGAATTCAATTATGAGATTGTGAACTGTATAGATTAAAAGGTGTAATCAATTGAAAATGAAACGTTTGCCATAATAATAGTGTTACAATGTGATTCCAGTCTTCTTTGAAAGCTGCTTGGAACTTAATATGTAATTTTTATAAAAAAAAGAAAAATCTTTACGAATGGATTCGGTTTCGGAGGTTTAGTGATGTTGCCTGTATTTACCCCTAGGAGCTCCTTCTTCTCTGATTCTTCATCTGCTGCGAAATAAAAACAACATACATCTCAAAAATCATTTTCAATCCACATACTACCCCCATCTAAATTTCAAACCAGTGTCACTTTAGATAATTATTCAACTATCCACAAAATGTCTAATCAAAATCTATCACACAAATATCTAAAAAATATCCCTTAACACTAAGATTTACGTTAACCGTACTCTTCATTGTATTGTTCCCAGAAGAAAGGAGTTCATTCATATACAATAAACCTTATAAAACAGAGAATTAGAATATCTATTCATAACTACTTCGATCAAAATCATTTTTCGCAAAAGATTATTTAAAAAATTCGATATCCATCAAAATCGACTGACCAAATCTAGTGTCAATAATCCTATGAATATTTACACTTACACGGAAACCAATATAAAAATATTCACTTAATCTCCGATAATCGTGAAACGTACCTTTTATATGAACCCTTTTATCGTTAATTAAGTCTTTAGACTCCGCGTTGGGCAACGGTTTGTACTCTTTGCTCGGCGGCTTCACGTGGGTGCCGTTCGGTCTCTTCTCGTCCTCGTTCACATTCTTGAAGCCTACCGTTTTCACGCCGGCCGTCATCGATTCCGTGTACTGCGGTGATTGCCATCGCTGCGAGCTGGAAGCCGGCACCGTCGACGTGGCCGAAACGACGGACGCCCGTCTACGGCGCCGGTCTTTCCTCGCGCTACGCCACACCTCGTAAATGCAACCGACCACCGCAGTGACGAACACGGAACAAAGCAGGATAAAGATGTAAGTACCAGCACCTTGCTCCTCCTGCGTCGCATCCGAATACTGGGACTTGTACAGTATCCTTTCCGGTGGGTCCTCCACCCACGCTTTGTCACGATCCTTCGACAGAAAAACAGGGATTCAATCATTATCAGTAAGTTACCATCACTCGGAGCAAATGAATGTTCATTTATAAAAATTCGATTCAAATGGAATTTCGGAAATGTGTCTGAAATATGGCGTTAAAGACGTTTTGATATTCTTGCGATCGTGTTCACTAGAATTACTTTTTCGTCGGAATAAAAATTTAGGAGACTGATATTTTCTCATAAAAATAATTTTTCTTAAGAATTTAAGAATAACATAAATTTCTAAAAAAGATTTGCTAATTTTCTGACGGTTAATTTAACACGTTGAATGCCATGGGCAATCATAAACGATGATTATTTGAAAACATTTCTATGTTATAAATAATGCTACCTAATGCGGTGCCATTCAGCTATATCAACGTGCAATAATAATAATGCAATTCAAGCAAATGATTTAATATTATATTTTTTCCATTTTGTGTACTTTGCTCTATGAAATCGTGCGATATTCAACGTGTTAATTGAAGGTAAGGGAATTTTGGTAATATCGCGAACCAAGATAGTAAAAGAATACTACGTATGAACGATTAAATATAAATATTTTTTGTTTTACCACACTATCGTTTCTAGGCGGGTCGAGGCCACGTGGCTGGGCGTGAAAGACCGCGCACTGTGCGCTCCTGACGCCAGCTGGTATCGTCGCCCTGACCGTTTCACTTCCCTGTTTCGTAAAGAGCATATATTCCTCGAGTGGCTTCATGCCAGGGCCTCCGTTGATCGATACCACGACGTCTACAAGAAGAGGGTATCCGTCATTTCGAATTCGCATAGTGGCTGACGATCGTTTTGTCTAACATAAGAAAGACAGTATTCCGTTAGAAACAGCGGCAACCGTGGGTACCGTTCGGAGATGATCGTAACGCGAGCAACTGGACTATCCGATACAATTTTGATTTCTTATATAATCGTGTCACTCACTGCTCAAACAGCCGGTGTATCCTTTGTAAGCGCTGAAGCGGGAATCAGTTGTGTTCAACCCACCCAGCTGAATCTCTGTCATCCCGGGACTCTCATCTTCGCCTTCGCTTAGGTTCAGCACGGGGATCGGCAGCAGTTGCACTGGCTCACGGTCGATCTGCATTTAAATTGAAAATTCAATATTAATATATCGACTTCTTATTTAGTTATCCCTTTTAAGGATAAAGTTTCAAAGATATGAGAAATGATGTCCTCTTATCTATCGAATATTGTTAAAATCTAAATTTATTGCATTTTATCTAGTAGCAACAGTAACTTGTTCCTTCATTTTTATTCAAGTATTGCATTTTTAATTAATAATTTTAATGTTTACCGCTAGAACTACCAATCACTTAAACTGACTTTCACGAATTTCTTCATATAAACCACAAGCATGCGTTTATTAAGATTTCAATTGAGTTGCATTTCAGTTTTGCTATTACTGAATTAGTTTCGTTATGAATTTTTCGTATAAGCATTTGTACCTTTTTAGTAATTGTAAAAGAAGAAATCAGAAATAAGTCATTTTGACCCACCTGGTAGTTTCTAGTGTTAATCAATTAATGATATGGGCCAGTAGATCATCAAGAGCTGAATTAACAAGAATATATAAATTCAATTTTATTAAAGGTAATCATCGTACCAAAAGTGTGGCAGTATTGTTGTCACGAACATAGTAGACACTGTGTCGAGCGCTGTTCAAGAAATTCCTGTCGTTGAGACGTACTCCATAAGCAGAACCCTCCCTGTCCTCTTCGAATATGAGCTGACCTTCTGACGTTAGGGCGACCAGCAAGTAGTAGCTTCTTCTGAAAGGAAAAGTTTTCGAAGGACATCCAAGACGCTCAAAGAGAAACTGTATAAATAGGGACGCTCGGATTGTTGAGAGCTTACTTGTTCTCAGTCTGCAGAAGCAGCAACGCTGTGGTACGTTTGCGAAGTTCATTCGTTGAGAATGCTAGTTGAACCTTCACTTGACTCACTGGTCCAACGAGGTCGAATTCGCGTTGAAGAACACTCTCGCCGCTGAAGTCTGCTCCCTTTTCTAACAAACATTACATAACATTTCAAATAACCATTCCATTATATGGTACCTTTCTATCAAATTGGTCCATAAGATTCTGTATCTATTCAGATCTACAGTCTGTCTAAAATCTAATTATTGGTATACGTTATAGTACCATGAAACTATAGATCTTCATACAAATTGCAATATCCTATATCTCACTTTCAATAAATTGAAATGTTTTAAGCTTTCTTCACTAGGAATCACTTTACTATAAGACAATAGCAAATCAATTAAATCTTCTTTACGTGTTACATTTAATTACAAAAAGTCCACAATCTACCGATTGCATTGGATCATCCAAAAATGTATTACCATCAGCACAATGCTCCCCGAAATAAGAAGTCAGTTCGCAGTTGCAGGAGGACTCCTGTCTACCAAAGTCCTCCGTGCAGATACCCAAGTTCTTGCAGGGCACTGCATCACATTTCATTTGGCAGTCTGGCAGCACACCTTTGCTGCCTTCATGATTAGCCTCGTTAGCAAGATTAGGCAGATTGACCAGATACTCCCCGATCATCAGCCCACGGAGACAGCCCACGTATCCTTTTATCAACATCCCCTCTTTGCCGACTCTCAGTAGGTCGTCCGAGTCGAAGCCTCCTAGATTCACCTATGTAAGATTGCTGATCATTGCTGGTCATTCGATTCGGCCATTGTTGATCGTTCGACTTGGCAGTGTATGTTCTCACCTGGAAGTAATTGGTAGGAGGAGCTGGTGGCCTCTGTGGTGCTAGTACTTCTTTCTCTGGGTTTACCCAGGGTTTATTCGAATAGGTATCTATGAACACAGGAGTTGCGTTCAGTGTTGCATTGTGCTCATTCACGTGCAGTGTTGTCGACTTTTCGTTACGGATTATGGCGATCTGCACTGAGATCCCTGTGTTCACGCCTGGACATATGAAATATTGTTCTTTATAGAATTTTCGTGGTTAAATAAAAATTGTATTTAAGAAAGCTTTCCTTCTATTAAACATTTTAATGTGATTTTTGTTTCACTAATGGAAGAAGTACGAGTGGATGTTTGAATTATTATATATTATACTTGTGACTAAATGATAATGATGATAATGAATCACTAATTATCACCAGAAAGCAATCCACAATTTATCACCTGGATACTCCACAGTAATATTCTTGATCTCGTTGCCGGCGTTGAACAAATACACAATCGACTCATTGGATATATACAAATGAGCGAAGTTGTTCAAGTGATCGTTAGCGTATAGGATCAACGAGTGAGTGTCGTAAGTCCTCAAATTAATTAGTACGTTCTGTAACAATATACTCTTGAGTAACAACGACTCTTCGTTCTCCTCGTCTGTACCGAAGAAGTTCTTCTTCAGGAAAGCTCCTTGAGACGTGAAGGTGAGAGCTTTTTCATTTATATCTAATTATCAAGAAGGAAACAATTATTCTCGAAATAAGAAGGTTGTAATAATTAGTTTAATCGATGTAAATTACTCCTCTCGCAATAGGTGCCCAGGTGAGCCCATCGGTTCTCGCAGACACATTCGAAGTTGCTCCAGAGTTCCACGCATCTAGCGCCGTTCTGACACTTGTTCGGTTGGCAGGAGGGCTTACAGTCCTTTATAATCTCTGACAGGTGGACAGACATGTAGCTGTGAATGTCCAGTATCTCCCCGTTTACGACGAGGCCACGGAAACAACCGATTAGGCCTTGGCGAACCGACGAAGTTCTTAAGTGCTCACTGCAGATAGATTGTGATCACAGAAAATATATTAAATTATTATATTGATAAAGAGAAAGTTGTAAAATAAATGTTGTAATAAATTATATTTGTAGAAACCACGTTAGTACCAGCTCAATTCTAGTTTATACAAAAAAAGAAGGTAGTACACTTTTTTTCTCGTGTTCTATAATTTGAAATATGTTCCATACTTTCATATTTTCTATAATATAACTGTAGAATCAGAATAATTAATTGATTGTTAAATAAATAATTAAATGTACTCACGCTGTGGCGCCACCGATGAACATAGAACCCTCAAAGGGACCGAACTCTTCTTCAGGTAAAAGATCGACCATTTGAAAGTCAGTGTTGATCATGAATCTGACATGGTAGTCGTTGTAATCGATCCAAATCTTTTGCCATTCGCCATTGTTTAATTTTCGTCTACTTTTTACCTCTAACTCTCTAATGGTCCCAGTGTTCAAGGTGAAATTGAAGGTCAAGCGGTATTCGGAAGTTAGAGCCACCATGAAGGACGGATAGTTGCTTCTGATTGGTGGTTGGTACAGTAAAATTGCTTTTTCTCCGGTTGTCCGGAAGCTGAAGGCTATATCTCCCTTCCGCCAGCCTGGCACTTCGATGTAGGACTGCGAGGTTGTGAAAGTGACCACGTACTTCTGCGTATCTTTAAATGGAAAACACCAAGTATATTCATTCCTGGACAAATTTGATGTAGCTTAGAATTTGTACTAAACACTTGTAGCTGCTATTTTAATTAAAAAGATACCGATAAAAAGTTATTTTTTGCAGGATTAACGACTCATTAGAAATTGCGTGCAGTATGCAATTTTTGTTAGGAAATCTCAGATATTAATTTAATTTCAAGAATTCTAGAACGATCTTTCTTCGGGATCAGTTACGTACTCGTTTCAACGCATTCTAATGGACCCAAGGTAATTCGACCTCGAGCAGCCTCTTCAAGATCTCTTTGCTGAAGGAAAACCATCCCCGTGATGCCTAGAGAGTCCGGAGTTTCATAGTAACCTTCGTCGGACAGCCACTTTCCAACATTCCCAGCGAAAACGTCGCAGTTGCAACTTAGATTCGGTTCGCCGCAGGTTCTATTCACTGAATCAATCAATTATGCAAATTTTAACGTTCATAAATTCATTTATATTAATATATTAATACGTTGAAAAGATTATTTCTCAATAATAGCAAATAAGAATTTTTGCATTTTCTAAATATAAATTTAACAAATTTCAACATTCAATCCTTAAAAACAACTGATAATAGTTCTAATAAATAGTGCCAAGAAATGACTAGCTGGCATAGTTTTCAATAAATTCTTTTCACTTAAAACTGTACTCACTTCCGCAAGGACAGGATCCTCTATTCACGTTCCCAATGTAGTCCACAGTGGTTCCTTTCGAGCTCAAAAACCACGTGGCACTGTGTAACTCTAGAGGTGCTTTATAGCAGTCGTACTTGACGTATTGACTGCAGTATAGAGAATGAGAGATCAATTCCTGCAGCATCTCTGCAGTGAACTGTCTGTATTTGATGTTAAAAGAGAAATCCGACTCGTCAATGGACCTGACGTCAACTTGCGAAGGTAGATTATGTTCGACTATAGTTTTCGTTGAATCTTCGATGGATTGAAACTCGCATTTCACTAAAGCTGGCGGGAATCTGCCATTTCCATCTATGTCAATTTTGTAGACGTCATCCTGCGTGTAACCCAGTAGAGCCAGTTCTTCGCACGTTTTTCTGTACTGAGCTGAAATCAATGAAACCTGAATTTAGATCGGATCTAGATTCTAAAGATACTTATTAAACTTCGAATCTCATTTGAAATTGTCGCTTACCAAAATGACAATTTTTTCCGATGTAACCTGTGTCCGTACAGTCACAGGTGATCCTGTCCTCTTTCACAGAACATTTGCCACCATGCTCGCAGGTGTTCGGTCTCGTGCAAGGATCTACGAACTGACAATTGTCCAAAGCTACTTCACCGATCACTCTCTCGGTGTTCACTACGTATCTAGGCTCGATTCTTTCGTCGTTCACTCGTATTTCTCTCATGCAGCCAACTAAACCTGATTCAGAATATAAATGTTCTTGAACGTCCAATTTTTTATTTTATAAACATTCAGAAACCTTTAATTTATTTTGTCAGAGTAAAGAGTGAGACTTTTTATTATCATTTTGAAGACGGCATGAAAACTAAGTAGCAGATACAAATGGTATTGTGTGATAGATATTATAGTGTATCGTTTACTAATGACAAGTGAAGAATCTCTTTTGTTGTTGATTTATGTTTTACGTTTATATTTTAATGAACAGATTGATGAGACAGTTTGAATGTAAACGCGGCGATTTCATTAGGTACCTGCATTGCCCTTTCCGCTCCCGATGATAACTTTGTCACCTAGTTCAAAAGTCATCGCGAACATTTTGCTTTGGTTGTTCTTATAGTCGACCAAAATACTGAGTTCTCCTCTGGTGTAGTTCAGTTCAACCGCATGCCAAGATGTGTTATACGGGGGAAACTTCACGGCGGCTGTGACCGTAACACTCTCGTTAACCACTGGGATCAATTGAAAACGAATTTCATCGTTGACTAGACGAAGCTGTGGACATAGAATGCGACCAAATAATTCACTCATGAAAAATATATCAATTCGCTCGTTTCAATAAATTTGTATATTTTTTCTACTTGAATTAAATTACAATAATTTATTCTATGATTTTCTCAGTTATTACTTTTAATGTATTTTTGTTAAAAAAATCAAATGAAACTGAATATTTCTTGTTAGCTACGTTTTCTATTCAATTTTTATCTTTACCTCCCAGTACCCAAGGTCGTGATTACTTTTTACATTCCCCGAAGCAACTACTGCAACGGGTTTCGAGCTCTTGAAATCGAAATTCAATTTCAGAGAATCGGTTCTCGCTATGGGCCACCAAATATGGCTGTCGGCGAACGGATACGTTATCGGGATTACATCGACATCAGCTTCGTAGTATTCTGGTTCTAGGACGCCGATATAGTGCACCATGGGATTCGATCGTTTTAATTCGTAAATTATCGATTTGTCATTGAAGAACACGTATTTCAGCGAACCTAAAAATCATTAAAAAGATTACTTTTAACATATCAAACGTTTCTCACAATAGGGAACTGAAAATTCAACTATAAATTTTATAAACTTCTACAGGCTACTTATAAATAAACAGTAAAATACTGAAATAAATCCAAATTGTATTTTTTTTACTATTATATTAAGTATATTTATAATTTTATTTGTCAACATCGTTGAAAGAATACAATATACCCGCAAAATTGTTGTGTGAAAGTAACCCCTTCTTCTTATGCAACTCAGGCCCACCACCGATGTAGATTTCAGGATCGATGATCATATTATAATTTTCTCCAGGGACCTCGAGCACTTTTATCTCATCGTCCAAACTAACGAACACCAGAGAACCATTGTGGAATATCGTCAGATTGTTCCAGTGGTTCGCAGTGATGTAATCACCAAGCACTGTGGCAATCTTCGAATTATGACCGAAATCTAATTCGACATGCACCGATCCGTTCACAATGGAAGCTGCCACGTAGTGAGGAGTCCCATCGATTTCTCCGGATGCGTAGAACAATGCTGAATCGTCCCATTTTGTCTAAGCAGAACGAAAATATATTTACTTGGTTGAATTCCGAATAACATGATATTTTTTAATATTAATTAATTGTAATACCTTGAACGCGAGGCTTATTCTGTTGACAGACGAATGCACTCTGTCTTTCCAGTCGTAAACGCGGAAAGAGACATAAGAAGAGCCTCTCAACGTTAAAATCGTCGCCGCTGAAGATAATTAATAATATATTACATTTTTTAACGGTATATATTTCTTCTGACAATCATAAAGTTACATACTGTACACGTCGCAACGTTCTCCCTCGTACTTCGTCCCAAAGCAATCGCAGGATAAACTGTTATAGTGATTTACGCATTGACTGGAGATGAAACAAAGGTTCTCTCGTGTTCTACACCTGAAATCAACCAGATAATTACATTTTTAAAATTCGAAAATAAAGAAATCTTGTAGAGAATTAATTCCATTGAACATCTCACATATCTATGCAACCCTCTTGCACGTTCTCGTGTTTCGTAGCTATCAAAGGCTGAATCGGCAATAAATCGCTAGCCGATTTGCCGGAACTGAGAACCATGTCCATTATGCAGCCAACGAACGATTCTATTATGTACTTCACGCCGTGTAATCGCTCTTCGGAACTCAATCCTGATGGAATATAAACAATTCATAGGAAAAACCACCCTCTATACAAAATATTTTATCTTAAGAGAAGGACTGAAATTAATTTCAGTACGATAATCAATGAAAAGAAAAATAAAGAATCTTTTCGAAGGAAAACAATTCCTCTTTATCTTCGGCTGTTATTAATTACTAATGATAAACGTAAATAATAGTGTTTCTCAATACTATTACTTATTAAAGTTATATTGTTTTATATATTAGTAATTAAATATAGTAAATCAATTACTTTCATGCTATATTTATTAATACTAAAATTCAATTTTTTAGTAACAACATTTATACAATGACATAGAGAGAAAGATCTATTTTCTACCTCCAATAAGGACGACAGACGCCAGTTCCTCGGACACTCCATAATTGACCACGTGCTCCAGAACTTCGAGGGTCGTCTCCTCTTGTTTGTCGTCCACTCTGGCGATCAGTTTCGCCCCGTGCACGTCTATTCTCACAAGAACGCTGTGCCATTCGTCTCTGTTCAACCCTTCGCCGACGGTCAGGCTGGTGGATCTCTTACCGAACACGTGGACAACTTTCAACTGACCCTTCTCCACGATCACGTACAAGGCATACGGGTCCAAACTATCCGGTCGATCCTTCACGCTGTGATACACTAGAAGACCGTGGGGCAGTTTTGTGCGGAATTTGAACGATATTTCGCGACACAGTCTGAAAATTAAAATTAAAAAATAAAATTGCGAATATTGAACGAACTAGGTGTTTTAGCATTGTTCATTCAAAAATATTTTATAGTTAGTTTTTATTCAGATTTATCTAAAGAAAGGAATGTATGTTAGAGTTGAACATTAGAAATTTGTTGAATGCTCTTACCGTAATTGGAATGGTTTAATACCGGGCCCGTCGAGTTGAATAAATGTATTACTTTGTGCAAACATAAAGGTCTTCTCGTATCCTGATTCCATAAAAGTTAGTTCCTATAAAATACATTTCAAGATTCTTTTAATACAAAAGGAATTATTGTTTGAACATCTGAATGTGAATTTACAGGTTTCATTCAATTCTACAATCATATTTCGCGCGTTTGGAGTTGAAGAACGAAATGGCTGTCGGAGCATTTGAAATGTTCTTCATGTTTGAATATATTAAGGATTTGTTTTTACTCATTTAAGGTAAAAGTTTGTCTAAATGTATGCTAAATTTTATGCTTTTGAACTTCAGTCAAATAACTATTAAAACAACTTTTATGTCTCCTTTTGAAAACATATATTGTATATTATTGCAGGAATGTAAAGAATTCAAAATTTGTTAATAATTTATTTTCAGTTAATTTAATAATTCTACATTTGTTATTAAATTACTTTCACCAAGTGGTAACTGGTTAACTGACTAATAATCTAACTGATTAGTGATCTAATCTCACAAGCTGGTCGTTCCCTTTGAACTTGTGGGACTGTGAAAATTTTCTTTGACATGTAAATTAACTGAGATTACCTTTCCCCTTTTGTACTTCGGTACAGGTGGTCTCGTAGGTGCGGGTGGCACGAACGTTGGTCGCGGAGTAATGGCGGTGGTAGAAGGTACTGTACTCGTAGTCGCAGTGCTCGTCACAAAGACGCTACCCTTTGTGACCAAATATGGCGGTAGCGTATCTGAAACAATTAGAATTACCATTTCATGCTCTCTATATTTTTATAAAAACCTGATACATTACGCTAATATCAAGAAAAAAAGAATCAACATGCCATTTACATTCACTGTGCCAAAACAGATTAAGTTTATTATATAAATAGACAAAATTACTTAATTTATTTAATTAATTACTTAACATTTTTACTCTTTTCCAAACTGTTATGAACATAAATTCAATTTAAACGTCAATTAATTATTCATTTGTCGAAATAAATAAACGAACGGGTTCACCGAGGCAGCTGAAACTATTCCATTTGTATATCACGTGCATTCGATTATGAACGATAAGTTACTCGACCAACGGTTATTCAAAATTAAAGTGAATTGCTTACGTTCGGGGCCACCCACACAATGATGAAGGCACTCGGCTTCGGAATTGAAACGGTTCTCGTTTCCCAAGCAGCCGCCGTAAGGGAACATCCTACATTTTCCTTCAGTCTTGTTGAACGACCACTTGTGGACGTACTGTTTGCAGGGGCCCGGCTCGGTTTTTACTAAACACCTGTCCGGTAACGTTCTCTTGGTCGTCGTGAACCCATCCATTTCGTCGGACAGGTCTATCTCCGACGAGTCCGTCGGATTCGTTAGGATTACCGTGAAAACATTTGCCCAAACGAAGATACCGATGATCCGTGCGACGTGGCCCGCCATTGCTGTCGTTTTGCTGTAAACGGAATAATCATCTTTTTTCTCTATATATCTTGGAAGTTGCTTACACACAAGAAAAAATATGAAATTGCAGTAAAACGCAAGTCAAAAGTAGTAGCACATTATAATCACTGACTCTTCATTATCCTTATTCGAACATCTAAAATATATTTGCTAATTAATTTCTCAAACATCCTCAAACATCACCAAAGCTAATTCCACACTCTACTACACTAATTCCCATACCACCATCCCATAATCCCATAACTAAACAACACAATTCACTTCCAGCTACCTCAAACCACAACAAATTCCCTCAAACATCCTTATCCACAACGTCCATCATTAAAAATACCAACGAATGCTCACAACGAACCATCACAAACTCCCAAAAATCAAGAAACTTCAATCAAACTTCTTCAAACCTCCAGAAAAACCCGTAACCTCTCCACTTTCACGAGAACAGTTCAATCATGACACCAAGCATCCCAAAACTCACTCTTGTCACCAGTTGCAACCACAGAACCCTTTCCCATGGTTAAATCCCCGAATCGGCTACCGTTTCCTTTGAATCGCGGAAATGATCCTTTGGTTTTCCACGGGTGTCCTCGCGCCGCGTCCCTCCCATCGCGGTGCCCCGTCGGAAAACCGCGCGAAGGAGGAAGAAAAAAAAATGGGAAACGCCGAAGCGGGTCGGCGCGATCCAGCTTGGTAACGGTCGAACAGTTATCTGCGTCCAAACATTGAGGACGCACGAATCTGCGTACCTTGGTGTGCCGTGGTCCAAACGAGATCGCGACTAGCCGAGAGGACAGGATGTGACGTCAGAAGGCCCCCGGCCAAGCACGGCGGCGGCTGCGAGTCAATTGTCTTCTTTCGCACTGGCGTGCTCGCGCGCGTCCACCACACACGCGCACACGAAGAGAGCGCGCTGCGGCTGGGCACACGGCCGTACGCCACACCGACGAAGACGACGACGTCGACGACGACGGCGACGATCGGATAACGCCCGTTGCGCGGCCCTAACCCGCCGCGCCGCGGTCCACCGTCTCCTCTCTTACTTGCCTCCACCTTCCCTCCTCCGTGCCTCGACAGCGAAACCCCTTTCAAGCCGCCACCTTCGTCATCCTCGTGACCGGCTCGAGATCATTCGGATCACTGGGAATGAGACACGATGAATCGGGGTCCGATCGTTTGCACCGTTACGATGGATGGATGGGTAGAGGTCGGACCATTGGTTTCTGATCAAGTGGGGTCAATTGAGTTTAGGACGCTGGCTATTGTTTTCGGGAAATCGGTGGTTTCGTGGTGGTCAAGTTTATAGGGTACTTTGTTAGGGTGGTGGAGAGATTTGGCAATGATCCGATGGAGGAAGGAATTTGTATTTTTTGGTGTGTGTACGTTTGATTTGTAGAATTCTATAATAAATGAAATTAATGAAAATATAGTAAACGAATTGTAGGTATGTTCTTTGTTTGATTTTAGTTTTGCAAGTGTGCTGTGTGAGGTTGAATATTTTTAAGCTACAGTATACGTGAAATTGAATTACACTTGGGTAAAGTAAGTCAGTAACTTTTGAATGGTCCTATGTATAGAGTGGTTTAAAGCGATTAAACTCTACTATTAGGGTTTTTGACATTTTGGTTATAATTTGTAGCTAACTTGTTTCTTGCGTTAATGTCGAAACATTCTGTATAAAGTTTTCCATTTTGAGGATGATATAAGTCGAATCACGTTGTGTGTTGTTAACTGACTAATATACTCGAGACAGAAAATTGTTTAATATGTACGATTTGAAGAGGTAAAGTTTGTGGTTGATAAAATGTTTAGACTGTCATACTTTCTTGAAATTCAAGGTCATCGAATAGTCATCACTGTCCATCATCGCCCCCATCATCTCCACCTCCGGTCTCTTCCCATGCGTTTTCCTCTTCTATCTGTTGTGTGTCGCCTCCTCTTGTTGATGCTCCTGCTGCCGCTGCTTATAGCAACTAGACACTAATTTATTAATACCACTCCGACTGCTGCTCTCTCTTACTCATCACGGTTTATTGGCTATCATTGCGATCCCGCCACCACCAACGCTTTCTCGCACAACCCCCTTAATTCTTACTTTCACCCATTTCCTTTTGATTTAGCTTTAACTGTTGCTGCTTCGTTTCATGAGGGGAGCTGACCCTGAAAAACAAAATAATATGATTAAAGAAAATACTGCTTCATTATTTCTATGAAACAATGCTGATTTTTAAGTAAGCAATAGCTAATTTGTTGAAGGATACATACGTTTTTTAGTGACATATGCGTTTGTATACCTGTATATTGTGAATTAAAATTAAGAAGAGTGATATTTATGATAATTAATATTGATGATTCAAGATACTGAAAATAAAATAAGGAAACTAAAGTGTATGACATAATCAGCATATTATGAATTTGAAGGAAGAATGAAACTTTAAGAAATCGTTTAACAGTAACAATCGAGTTCTAATTTTAATGGAAGTGAAGTGAAGTTTTTATATTAATTAACTGAATTTTAATAGAATTAGAATGTTTATATTGAAAATGGAGGGTAAACGAACGCGATGTTTTTTATCCAGGTGGCAACACACGCGCTTCTTAATTTGGAGCAGCAGGGCGGAACACACTTCGTGGGCACTCCTTCTGTTGTCCTCGGAAAATCGATATATCGAGCAAACCTGATGACTGAGTCATTGTAGGAACTGGGGTTTAAAGAGGAACGTGAACAACAAAGCATCTTCTGCCCATTTATCCAATAAGGAATCGAACAATATGCTCATTTACGTTCGAGAAACAGTAGCTTTAATTTATTCACAACAATGGAACAATATGATAAAACAATAACATGCCTATTACTCTAAATAATAAACTCACATATTACCTTCGTAATGAACAGAACGTATGCATACCTAAAACGTCGAATTACTATAGAATTCTTTTTAAATTTATAAATTAAAATATTACCAATATTAAATAAAATATTAATAATTTATAGTGCACGTTTCATTTAGAACGTTTTCTACGTTATATATTCTAATGGATTGTCATAAATACTGAAGGAGACAGTCCACAGAATTCTCGACGAACACAAAAGGGCGCCATATTGTTAACGGCAAGGAAAAGATTAATTTATCCGGGTCACGAAGGGATAACATCGGCTACAGAAGCCAAGGACAGCATTTGAATCTTGATGCCTCCAATGAAAAGTAATCCGTTACTCATAGTCTTTCTTTCGAAGAGGGTTTCATCTGACAATAAGACGAAAGACTGCCGCGCGACCGGAAGTCACGTAGGGCGCCTACATCGATCTTATCCTTTGAAAGGAGACGATTCAATCTCCATAAAGGAAGTTCGTCTCCTAGAAACTGAACGTTGGATGTTGCATGTTAATAGAAGGGAAGAATTAACCGCTGAATCATTCGAGAAATCTGTTGTTTATTCGGTTTAGGGTTTCACTGGAAACATTGCATACGATTTCATTGAATGACGCGTACATTAATGAATGAAAGTCATCGAGAAGAAACACCGTTCGATCATCAAATTAATGTGCACAGTCTATAATCTACGATGCATCACATTTTGTTAAGAAAATGTTTTATAGGTTAATTAAACTGTAAGAAAATATTTTATAGGTTAATTAAACTGTATTAAATAGAAAAGTGAATTGATGTAAAATTAAATTATTTCGGAGTTTGAATACAATTCAGATTCTGAAGATCGTTATTTGAAATAATAATTAGAGTTTATAATTAAATAAATAAAAATAAAAATTAGAGAAATAATAATTAAATTGTTAGAAGGTGTTATGTACACGTTAATGATGTTAGCCTTTTTGCACAATGATTTCTTATTTGTCTATCAAATTGTTTAATAGAGGAAATTGATGATTTTTAGTCTCATAAAAAAATCACGCTTTTAACAGGTGATTTTTTTCTAGCCTTAATGACCGGTTTATTCTATTAACGGAGTTGATTCTTTAAGGGCGAGTTCCTAATTGGTGCGATTAATAATCGCCGTGCACGGAATCACTCGGTTCCGAGTGCGTCATGCGTTAAAAAGGTTCCCTATATTCACTTTTTTTAATATTAACGAGATGAAAATAATAAAGATTGTGTTACACTTGGAAAACAACCTTCCCTGTGATTTTTTAAAGAAGCTTTTAGGGAAAACACTCGCAAAATAGTATGAATATTCATATCGACTGCTGTGCTTAAACCTTGCACCATTACAATTCTTCTTTAAGTACCTGTTGCATGGTATGTACTCAGTTTCCATTCATAAAAATTGTTAATTCTTCTTTCAAAAACTAATTTTAAGGAACACTTAATTTCTAAATATTTTTCTATCAACATTGTTATCGTAATTTCATTAACTTTTGCATGTAATACTAAAACGTATACAAAACGTCACACTGTCCTGTAAAGTATATATAGCTAATGCTATATTTAAATTATTTGCGATTTATGCTTATAATGTTACATTGTAAACATTGCATCAATCTTTCAAACAATCTAATTAATTATACCAAATTACTTACACTTTCCGAACGCACTCACAAATTGTCACCGGAAATCAGGAACACTTGTTGCCCGAACAGAATCACAACACTTGTGATTAAAAACAAAAGTAATTAAAGTATCTGGCTATACAAAAACCTGTTTGTCTTTCAAAGTCAAATCTTTTCTATTTTATATTGCCAACACATTCATCGATTCCACAATTAGAATAAAAAGAATATTTATGTCACCCCAACTTCACTTAATACAAGCATCAGAGTGTCACTAAAGAAATCCATAAAAAAGTTCAAACACAAATACAAAAATTACACGATTCAATGTCATTCGAGTCACTAACAAACAATTAAACAAACACGCCTCCTTGGTCCTAGCAATACATAAACCTAATTCGTCACGCAACTCAAAACAGAATACAAAAGTCTAAATATTAAATTCACAAATAACACGCACAAACAACAGAGTTTTAAGGAAACTATGGAATTATTCAAAAGACTCTATTGTCATCCTAAAGTAAATGAAAATGTATAAACGCACAATTGAAAATAAAATACTGTACAATCTTATCGCTTCTTGTGATCGTTGCGATCGAAGGATTTTCAGTCCTTAAAAAATGCTTCTCGCAGCAGGGAAGATTGTTAAAGTTATTGAAATAAAAAGTAGAAGGCTTGAGGATGGTGATCCAGAGTCACCGTATCACTCGAGACGCGCGCCGCGACGGAATCGCGCTTACGACTGACACATTAACTGATTCGACGGGCCGCCGCCACTGGCACACAGGGCTTTTCCTCCACCCACGCAGCCAACCGCGTATCAATTGAGGGTACTATCACGAGGTCTAGTTCTGTAAAAGGTGTCTCGGAAGTGTCCGGTTAACTCGCGAGTTCCTTCGCGAAACTACGGTCAATTGGACACCAACAATTTTCGTTGATCGCCGATTACCCGCGGTGTCCATTCATTTTAATTCGACTCGTTTCACGTGGACTCCTCGAAAACTGAGCGAATTAGAGGAAAAAAAACAGTGGCACGGTGTCACATCGCTCGGAAATTGCACGCGGTTCCGTGCTCGCGTAACTGAGATTCCGGTTTCACGCGTTTGAGGGTACGAAATGCTATAGTCTGTATAAAAAGATAGATAAAATGAATTTTTTTTGTAAATTTAGTAATCTGGGGATTATTTTTTGTGCTTTAGTTAGTAGTCTGGAAAATTGTGAAGATTATGGTGTTTTTGAGAATGCGATAATTATAGATTTAAAACATTATAGAGCTGTAAAATTGTGAAATTATAGAACTGCAGAATTATAGAGCTGCAAAATTGTGAAATTATAGAACTACAGAATTATAGTACTTTGGAATTGTAGAATTATAGTACTGTAAAAGTATAGAATTATAGAACTATAGAACTATAGACCTATAGAACTATAGAACTACAAAACTACAGAACTATAGAACTATAGAACTATAGAACTATAAACTTATTTCAAAGTTCTTCTGATTTTCTATTCATTACAAAAACTTAAAATTCTGGTCTTCCATAGATGTAAATCTTCCAGTTCCTGCATTCTTCCTACTTTAAGTGCATTGATTTGTTCATCTTTGTGAATACAGCATCTATTTACAGAAACAATTAATATAGCAGTAAAATCACGTTTCTTTTCGAAGAAATGTTACTAAAATTGAACGTGATACACGCGACATGAAGCGCTCATTGAACATCGTTTATTTTTGTCGGTCTACTTGTTAAACAATTTTGACCCATCGATCCAAACACGAAATTTTCGTATCGGCGCTAAGTAAAATGCAAACGTCATGTAGGTCAAGCAGTTTAGCGGCAATTATCGTGCAATTATCATGAATAATTTTTAAATGTTCGCTAAACATGTTACATCGGCGAATTTAACAATCAATAATCCGCGGGGAACCATTAACAACGGCGTGCCATTTTTTACTTGAACGTGTCAACAAATTACGCTTGATGATCGTTGCTCGTTATTAGTAGGATGCATTATGCAATTCCATTTGATCGTATTACTCAATAAACTGTTCAAGAACGAATGTAAAGTACTTTAATAGAGTAATTTATTAGAATAATAAAATGTTAGCAATACGTTCCTTCGTTAATACTGTTTATTCCATTTTTATTATTGCTATACAGATTAATTTATTTTCTTGCATTAAAGAAACGAATATATTTCTATATTAACGAATATTTTTCTATATTAGGTAATAACTACAAAAGTTCCTAGAACCTCGAACTGGAGGATCTTAGATACATCACAGTGTGAGTCACCAAAAGTGTAATAAATAAATCTGATAACGAGATATTGAACAAATTGGTACTACACGCATCTGATGCATTATCGAGAATAAGAAAGTCGTGTTTCGTCCATGCTGAAAGGGTCATTGATTCTTTTCAGTAATTAAGGAAATAAGTAAACAAATAATCTAAGGTTACAAAAAATAACATTTAAAAAATTCAATGGTTTTTTATCGTTGTCAGATAAGTTAGTATTGAGTTGTTACATAAGCTGGTGAACGTTTTATGTTCACATACATTCTTTAAATCTACGCGATAGCGTAATGCTCGACTTCCGGAGATTGAAAACCTTTCTCCATTATGTTATCTTCGGTTTCCCGCATTACCTGTTTTTTGCAATATAGCGGTTCACCGATAATTAGTTGTTGTGTACGATAAAAAGAAGTTAAATCGTGTAAACGTGCACGAAACTACCATAAAAACGAAGACAGATAATAAAAAGTGCACAAAGAAGATAACGACATCTGTAATTAACATTAATAACAAAGTGAAAATAGATCAATAAATGATAAACTACATTTTTTAAAAATTCACATGTGTTTATTCTGTAACGTTGATACTCCGAGAATTTATTACATTATACAAACATAGACATTTCGCTTTTACACTAGTATATATTTAGGGTCGACGTACCTAAGGTTGCATTATTATAATATTTTTAGGCATGCAGTGTTTCCTTCATTTCCCCTTTCATCCATTTACTTCGCAAATTTACGGTGCGCTGTACACTTATGAAAGAATCAAACACTTGTCCAATCTTCCACCTACATTAAGTACCTTGCAGATTTTCACTATTAATATCAATTTTCAACGTAAACGTCGAATAAGCCGTTACTCTCAATGCTCGATTCGACATCTCTTTCCAAGTTTCCGATGAAACGAAAAGTAACCAACTCAGTTGTAAACCCAATCGAATCTTCATTACCAAAATCATTTAACTGAGGAGCTTTCGTTAGAACTTTTATAATACATAAACTAAAACCAATCAATTATAACAATCTATTTATCTTCAATTAAAACGTCCACTGCGAAAGATGCAGCGAATACTGTCTCAAATACGATTACCGCAATAATAAAGCAAACTTCGAGAAGTTCCTGGATACATACTGTGATTAGATCGAAATTATTTCAATTAAAACGAAGCCTCAATTTTTCCCATTAAATTGGCTCGTAAATCTACGATCCTCTCTTTCAGCAAGCTCCTCAATTATCTCATTAACGCGCCTCAGTTACCGGCCTCGACGCCATTTTGCCCTGGAATAGAGGGTATTGAAATGACCACGACGTGCGTATCGAGAAGGAACAATAATAATTATATTTATTAGGCAGTTTACAGTTATTTAGGTAGGTTGAGTCATGATGAAACAAATGCTTGTTCGGTTTCCCCGGTGGCGGAGCGAGCCGACCGGAAGTGCTCTCGATGCCTCCGTGAGCCCAGGGAACACGCGACGGTTCAGATGGTCCAAGAACGGTAGCATTTGCTATACTTTTTTTTATTTTCTTATTCCTTTTTTAAGCGTAAGACTCTTAAAACTGGTATACTTCAGTCGCATGCGCTATTAGTCCACCGATCCGTGAAATATATTAATGTTTCTTCGTTTAAAGTAAATGTACAAATATAACTCGTAGGAATTTCGAGCAATCACAAGTCTCGAACGCTCTTCACATCAATTATTCACCGAATTCTCCGTTTCTCTTTCTCTCTTTCTCTCTCTCGCTCTCTCTCCCTCTCTGTCTCTTTCTCGCTCTCTCTCCCTCTCTGTCTCTCTCTCGTTCTCTCTCTCTCCCACTCTCTCTCTCTCTCGCTCTCGCTCTCTCTCTCTCCCTCTCTCG